CCCACAGGTTGAACCACACCTCCTCTGTTTGGGCTGAGGATGAGGGATGAACGGGATCCTCCTCAGGTGGCTCTTCTGATTGGTCAGGATGGATCAGATGATCCGATAAGGAGATCAGTGAAAAGTCGGTGCAAAAGTCCAAATGTTGTTGTTTATTTATTGGAATTCTACAACTTAAAAAAAAGGATTTCTTTGAGTCTTGGAACTTTTTGAGCCACGTCTTAAAATGATCAGCCTGAATAAACAACCGCCATCTTCCTGTTTCATGTAGTGACTACGACGGCCACTAGGGCTGGTGAAACAGAACGCCGGCTCCTGTGACCACAGGCCTGCTGGGATCGTTTGCTGCTCGACTGAACTTTGTGATGATGAGCGTTTCAAAGGACCAGACGCTGACAGACACGACCAGAGCTGGAAGGACTCAGACTCCGGGGAGCGAGTGCGATCCGGGGTCAAGGTGAGGACGGGAGCAGCGGGACGGAGATTGTTTTCGCTGCTTCATTTAAATCACTGGAGGAGTCGACAGATAAGGAGCCGCTCGCTCCCTCCGGCAGAGAGGAGGACATCACCGTGTGGTGAAACTGAAGAGTGGGAGGAACGCCGCTGATTAGGAAACAACACCGGGGGGGAGGACGGGCAGGGGGGGGGGGGGGGGGGGTCACACAGGGGGGGAGGGGCAATAACTCAGTGTGTACAGGAGTGCTTACACAAACATAAACACTGTCATGATAATGTATGTAAACAAACTAACCGAGAGGGGGCACCCTGACATGTTGTTCCTCCTTTTAGTTCAAGTCTATTTTATAATTAATTACACAGTTCGACCACGTGAGTTATTTTTCCACATAAACAAGTAATAAACAGTCGTGATGGGGGTCGATGTCGGCACTAGTCAATAAACAACACACACACACACACACACACAGAGAGAGAGAGAGAGAGAGAGAGAGAGAGAGCAGCCGGTGGAGATGACTCGGTGGACTCACCTCACTAAGTGCGGCAGACCTCCTGCTCCTCCGTGGCCCACTCAGTGTTGGTCCAGTCCACTTCCGGTGTGTCCGACTGTCACAACTGTGTGGTTTGAATCTTTACTCAGATTCCTGTTGCATCAGGAACAAGACGCCAGCGACATGTTGACGCTCGGCCGACATAACAACGAGACACTTGGAGATAAGTCCAGCGGTGAAGGAGTCCTTATAAGCGGCACAGCGACTGGAGCCGCGACTGGCTCCGCCCCGCGCACTTGCCCTTAAAGGCGCAGTAGTCGTTTATTAAACCAGTGCCGGTGCTAGTCTTTTTGGCGCCCTGGGATAAACAGCCTCAGCTTCCCGCCACCATCCAGCAGTTTTTTAAATGGTATTGCTTTATATATAAATCAGAAACAGCCTGTGACAACAGTCATTCAATGTGTGTAACTAACGCACCAACACACACTTACTGTTTCCATGGAGACATGAAAACTCATGCAGTATAAAATAACTATTATAATTATTCATACATTTAAAAAATAACACGGATTATGACCAAAGCCAAGAACAGATGAGGTGTGAACAGGTGTGAACAGGTGTGAACAGGAAGTTTGTCTTTTGGATCAGCAGAGCTCCAAGAAACATGAACGTTACATTCTTCTGGTCTGTGAGCACATCAACATGTTCTTCACTGTAACAAAATCAACTCACGAACGCTACCCTGCTCCTGGCAGTGAGACAGTTAAGTGAGCAGTGAGACAGTTAACTGAGCAGTGAGACAGTAACGTCTGCAGAGCTGATAACAGAGAACAATCTTATCTGCTCTGTATCGCTCTCTCATTGAATGGAGCCCAGGTTGGTCAACGTCCCGCAAATCAGACGGCATTTTTCTTTTGGCTTGAGCTGGTGGTAGTTAACCTGGTGGTACTGGTGGTAGTTCTTTTGGCTTGAGCTGGTGGTAGTTAACCTGGTGGTAGTTAACCTGGTGGTCCAGAGGAACTACAGCAGGCTGCAGCTGCAGCTTTGGTTCAGAGAACGTGTTGGTGATCCATGGTCATCTCCAGGTGCCGACACTTCCTGTCACCTCGCTCACTCTGACCTCAGCTGGTGCTGCATTAACTCGATGTCACGATGTAGAGCAAACTAACGTGCACACAAACCAAACACAACGTCTCACAGGTTGATTCAACATTGGCTGCCCCCCCCCCAAACCCAATGTCTTATCAGGCCCCCGCCCCGCCCCGGCCAGGGGCCTGTGACCCCCTGTATCAGCAGAGGAAGGAGGTCGGACATTTAGACTCGTGTGAACAGCTGTGTTTTCTTATGTTCATATCAGTGAATGTTCCACGTTGTTTTGTCCTCGCTGAACAAAAAACGCAAAATTACCATCAACAAATGCAAACAATACGATCAAACATAGAATAAAAGAATCAGTCAAAAACTGCACTGGGTTTATTCTAAGCATCGTGGCTGTTTTTTTGTTTTTTTTTCCTCATTGCACTCAATCTGTCATCATTACTCTTTTTATGTTCCACCAAACACT